AAAACTGGGCCTCCTCTGAGTTTGTTAGACTAGCAGAAGGCAGTAAGTAGATAGAACATCATTACAATTTACTATCAAAATCTAACCAGAAGAGTAATGAGAAAAAGAAGGAACAGAAGGATGTGGATAAATCCCTTAACTGGATAATTAGTTCAAATTATAACTCTTCTTACAAATACTAGAGTTTAATGACTTTAATAAGCCCAAACATGGTTTTAACTGGAAACCTTACTATATACCAAAACATTATGAACTATGTTAAATTACTAATGACTTTTAAAGGATGGTCTAAATAACGTACAACTTGAGAAAATTATGTTTTAATGACTACAAATTTCAATGATATTTAATGAATCCTATTTTAGGTGATAGTATCTTAGGATCATACATAGGCAACTACAAGGTAGAAACATTAACTAAATCAACTCATTTCTGAAGGAAATCCTAAACTATGTTAGTAGAGGGAATGAAAAAGAAACCAACAACCTTCAAGAAGTACTACATGTAAGTAACTACAGAAAACTTGCTAATGGCTGACAGCTCATCTAAGGCATGAAATCTTTCTTAATTCGCCATTATACTACTTTTTCTTCCACTGAATTCCCACATCTATCTTTGTGATCATGGGGTTTAAAGAATTTATTTTGTTCTGTGTTAATTGTAGTAATGTTGAATTTTCTAACTTTCCATGAATAGACTGAGAATTCCTGTAAGTCAGAATTCTTGAGTTTTACATATTTTTATGTCCTCCCACCCCTGTGTCTAACATGATCCCTGGAATTTTGTAGGCATGTATGTTTATCTGAATTTACCAAAACCCTTATTTTAGTATAGTAAAAGTCTTGAGAAAAGTAAGTTATATTTTGGTAACTATGAATGCTTCATGGTTCAGTTTTATAGAACCTCTATTAACTTACCAACTTTGTTCTCATAAATAATATTTCTAGATTTTTTATTATTAAAATAATAAAAACCACTGTGGTAGTACAATAATTATAATTGCTTACTCACATGTCTTTATGTTTTACAAGGTAACTGATGTAAAAGTGCCAAAAATAAAGATTTTTAAGTAAAAACTCTTTTTACAGTGAGAGAAGATACAGCCGTGTAACAATATAAAACAGAAAAAAAAACTTAAAAAAAATAATAAAAAAACTTAATAAAAATATTTACTCATAAGTGATCCCTTATTAACTCAGTTACCCACCCATAAATTACAAGTGGGGCATTACATAACATCACATATGTCAAACAGTATGAAAGTTCTGAGGCTAGGAAAGTATAATTCCCTGTAACTCACACTGGAGTCATCAAGCACAATGTAAGTAGTAAGAGGACACTGGGGATGTCCCTGTCTGAAGGAGCAGAATAAAGGGCTCATAAATGAGGTAACATTTAAACAGAATTCAGGGTCTAAAGCCGGGCGCTGGTGGCTCACGCCTGTAATCCTAGCTACTCAGGAGGCTGAGATCTGAGGATCATGGTTCAAAGCCAGCCCAGGCAGGAAAGTCCATGAGACTCTTATCTCCAATAAACCACTTGAAAACCAGAAGTGACACTGTGGCTCAAGTGGCAGAGCGCTTGCCTTGAGCTGAAGAGCTGAGGGACAGTGCCCAGGCCCCACAGTTCAAGCCCCACGACTGACCAAAACAAAACAAAACAAAAACAGAATTCAGGGTCTAAGATTTATTTTTTAGGCTTACGGGTATTTGTGGTATAGAAGTAACAGTCTGCTGTTCATTTTTAGAATAATATTTCAGAAGAAACTGCTGTTCTAATAATAGTCTAGTAAAGAGATAAAGTTGGGGCAGGAGAAAGCAGATTTGGAAGATAATTGGTAGGTACACAGATTTTATGAGAGGGTGAGAAGAATGAATCCAAATGACAAGCCTTTGATTTGGCAGATGGATGATGACATTAAATGCAATCTAAGTCATAAGTTAACAAGTTTTTATTATATATCTTCTATGTATAATACACTCACATCTAACAGATGAGGTCTATTTTCATTCTAGTGAGAGAAAACAGAGTACACATGTGAATAATCTAAGATAGTAAAACAGGTAATGGAGAAAATAAAATGAAGTTATGTAATGCTGACTATGGGGGAGGGACACTTTATCAAAGATTGTCATAAGAATTGACACTTAAATGAGAATAGAGGAAATAAGTGAAGCTCTGGTTTAAAGGGGTGGGGCACCAAGCAGAAAGGCTGACAGCAAAAACAATGTAATCTCAAAAAAGAATAGGAAGGCAGTGTTTTGTGGGGGTATGTAATGAAAATAGAGAGAGAAATGAAACTAGAGACGACTGAGATCCCTATTTATTTTTCTTACAGTGATTGAGTAGTTAGAAGATTTTAAGAAAGGAATGATGTCATCTGATTTCTACTTCTGTCACACTAAGGAGGAAGACTGGAGGTAGAGTCCCGGTTAAAGTGATAGATTAGATTGTTCTAACAGTGACAATGTGGAGAAGTGGTCGAAATCTAGACGAGGTTAAGATTACAAGACTTGCTGATGGACCAGATATGGCATTGAAGGGAACAGAAGAGCCAAAAGTGATCCATGGGATTCAGTTCTAAACCACTACAAAGAGGGAGAGATATTGAAAAGAGAAAACTAGATAGAGAAATTATTCAGGATGACAGGGACAGGAAAGAATAGTTCTTCTATGGTCAAGTAAACTTCTAAGTAAAATATAAGTAGATAGATATACATATAGAAATTGGGAGAAAGGTCTGCGTGGAAAATTCTTTAAATTCTACAAAAACTTTAAAGCCATGAGACTAAATAAGACTCATCTTGACTATATCAATAAATATGAGGTAGAGAGTATGAAGCAACTTTTTAAAAGAGAAACAATGATTTCCATTTTAAACACTTAAGGTCAAGGTAAATGTTTATCTAAATGTTTATCTAAAATATTTTATTATTATACTCTTGCAGTATTATTTAATTCTGCAGTCTCCTTTACAAGGTCTCTATTTTTTATGCTATCTAAATTAGCTTCCTTACAGCAAACACTATCCGTCCCCTACTGCCAAGAAGCTATTCAGAAAGCACTTCTGAAGCATTTTTTATAGCAAAAATATAAACATCTGGCTGTAATGATTAAAAATTTATTAATTAATAAAAAAATCTAGAAAATAGTACAGTAATGAGGCACTTTAAAATCTCTTAAGGACTATGACTTAAAAAGCTCTTCTCCCTAAGAAATAATCTTGGAATTCTATCGATGGGTCGACATTGAAAAATAACCAGTATTGGTTATTTTTGTATGCTATTGTCTGAATGTTAGGGGAAATAGGAGGGAATTCCTCAAATTCATACGTTAAAACCAAACTCTGAACATGGTAGTATTGAGATGTATGGCTTTAGGGACATAATTAGGCCACAAAGGTGGAGCAATTGTGAGTGTGACTGGTTTCTCTATAAGAGGCTAAGACACTAAATAAAGTTCTAAGTGAGAACTCAATGAGAATAGCATCAAATGTGAACCAAAGCAGATTTTTACAAAACAGCAAATCTGCTTGCACATCAATCTTTCCAGCACTCAGAACTTTAAGAAATAAATTTCTGTTGTTTCTAAGCTATCCATTGTATGATATTTTATTATAGCAGCTTGAATATAGTAAGATACTAAGTATTGAACTTGGGTAATAATGGCTGATTTCTGAACTATCCTGCTGGTCTAATCTCAAATAATCAAATATTTCCTACCAAAGATGCTACTCAGGGTCAGCACTCATTAAGTGAATTAATAAGAGATCAAGATGCTTCACTGTAAAAGACAAATTTTTCTTTGTCCTTGAATCTTTATCTTTTTCCATCCCTACTTACTCATGTTCTTACACAACACCTTTAGTTCAATTAGAGCTTAATAAACAACTACTGTAATGCATGAGTAAACAAGTGAACACTTTCATGAAAAATATGATTCTTTTGTTCCTTTTCATGAATCTTTTCTTACATCTTTAAAGTTTTTCCCAATTACAAAATATCTGCTCAGTGAAAACAATATTAATATAAAAATAAAAATCTCTTGTTACTTTCTACCGATAGCTCCTAGTTGTACTAATTTTTTCATTTAACAAACATTTTTGACTGCCCAAGTTTGCTAAGTATATGGGGATACTACAATAAACAAACAGTCTGAGTCACTAATTATCTCTTTCTCTCTTTGTTTCCTTCTCTCTGTTCCTGCTATCTCTCCCTCTCCTCTTTCTCTTTCCCCCTCTCTCTGGTTGCAGGTAGCAATACCCTCCCCCCTGCGACCATGAAATGGTCCACAAGTAAAGAGTAGAAGTTACTATTATTTATCCTCAGAGAACTATGCATTAAGTGGCTTGTTTAGTTTACACCAGAGAACATCTTACTGCATTTCACTCACTTCCAAAGGTTGGCTACAAAGGATGTCACTCTGTCAAAAGATTCAAAATCCATGGATATCTCTCCCACCCTAATACTTAACATTTCTCTTGAAGATGATTATTTCAATGGATAAGTAATGTTAATATATTTCTATATAGTATGCAAAAGCATCTTGATGATATTTTCAAGTACCCTCAAGGAGCAAATAGCTTTCTCATGTAAAAAAAAAATACCTTCATCTTTCTACAGAACAATGTCAAGTGCTACACAGGAAAAATAATTCTGAATACATTTTTCAAGCCTTTATCTATAGGTTCATATATTATCTATTTAGTCAACTGTGTTAAAAAAAATAGTCCAGATGCTTTAACTTTTGCACTCTATCCACACATCTCCCATCCGCACTTTTTTAACAGAAAGTTTCTACTTCCAGCAACAGGAAAATCTTAGCAACTGGACAGTCATTCCTGGTTCTAGTATCCCCTGACTTTCTGCAGATCACCTGTTTCTTGGTAACGGCACCAGTCTGCATGGAAAGAGTGGAAGCTACTGTTTATTCTCAGAAGACTATGTAGTAAGTGACTTGTTTAGTTTTACTCCAGAGAAGTCTTACTGCATTTCACTCACCTCTGAAGGTTGGTTGCCTTCTACCTCAGAAGTTTTACTTTGTAGCTCATTTGTTGTATCTCCTGAGAAGAAAAAACAGAAACAAAACAACTTTACCATACTATTTTGTTTTCTACTTATTTGAATTTTTTGTCATTATACATTCCATATCAACAGAAGCAAGCACTACTGCTTGCTGCATAATAAATAATTTATAAGAATGAAGCCGGGCACCAGTGGCTCACGCCTGTAATCCTAGCTACTCAGGAGGCTGAGATCTGAGGATCATGGTTCAAAGCCAGCCCGGGCAGGAAAGTCCATAAGACCCTTATCTCCAATAAACCATTAGAAAACCGGAAGTAGTGTGTGGCTCAAGTGGTAGAGTGCTGGCCTTGAGCTGAAGAGTGAAGGGACAGTGCCCAGGCCCAGAGTTCAAGCCCCATGACGGACCAAAAAAAAAAAAAAAAAGAATGACAATTTTGTATAGGTCTCATAAATCATCCATAAACACATATACTTACAACATAAATCAGAATATATTCTGCTTTATATAGGTTTACAATGGAAAAAATAAAACAAATTCATATTTTACATATCATGTCATATTTTAGATATGGCTTGAATAGAAGGCAATTTACTTTAAAATAAAAGCTCTTTATGATATGTATAATTAATTGTCCTCCAAATTAGTATTTTCACATGAGTTACTTTTTATAAATGTTGTCTCTGGATTTCATTGGTGTAGAAATGAATCTCTATGTATCAATGAACCAAAATGCCTTTCAATAGTTATTGGCAGAAAAAGACAATGAACAAATACATTGATTAGCTTTCAATTAATCCTAAAGCTGGTGCCTGGGTGGGTGGTATTAATAAATTAATTTGAATTAGGATGATTTGAAAGACAACAGGACAGGTATAAACATAGTTGAACAAGTTTAATATAGGCTTAACTGATTTACTAATGACCTATTTCAATTTAATTATCACTAACAGTTGGTAATTAACATGTGATAGGTATACAATCAATTAGCCTACTACTTTAGACTTTAATAAAAGGCTAATTTAGCAATTTGTAAATTGTTCTTCCCACAAAAAATGAAACAGGATTAGGAATGTCTACTAGAGAGAAAATTACCAAATTTGTGGATGAAAGTTTGGTTGACACTACAGGTCAGAAGTAGGTTTCTATATAGGGCACAGTATTAAGAGTAATGATTGTGGATAAAGCATAGAAAACTTCATTGAGTGTAATGGTTTTGTATGAAACATAAAAGTTTAGTTTGTCAGTGGCTATGATGAGGAAGAGCCCTGTGAAAATTTCAAAGTCATAAATAAAATTCTGTTAAATCCTAAAACCATGAAAAAACTAAAGACAATTTGATTCCCTAAATATTTAAAATAATATAGTCATTAGCTTTGTTCACAGTTGTAACATTATTATTGTTATGCAAGACCCAGAAAAGGTGTTCAATAAATTAGCAAATTTCTCTTTATAGTTTCTCACCTATAAATCTGTCACAAAAGACTTGAATGTATTTTATAAAAAACTGTATTTGAGCATAGAGTAAGGCTTTAAGGCAGATTTATGGAATACCACTTTGAAATACTATTACTAGTGATTCATAATTATGGCATGACTTATATTTTAAACTTATTAATAGGAAAGTACTGGGAACTTTTGGGTTATGCATATAGGTAACAAAGTTAATTATTGTTACATAAAAAAATCAACTTACTCTTGTAACTCAGGATGTCAAATAACTTGACTCTTTAAGTCACTGTTTATACTGATCAGTTACAACCAGTTGAAAAGGAGCCTTATTTTTGAAATCCCCATTGTCTCTGTCAGTTAAGGATATGATATCCATCTCTAATTTGCAGAAGGAGAAACCTTTGCAGATGGAGAAACTAAAGTACAAAAAGTTTAGTTTGCTAAGTAAGGATACAGACAACCAAAGAAATATAGTCTGCATAATAACTCAAAGTATGTTTAATGACACGGGGAAAAAAGAGGACCCTTTGAGGCCAGAGATGTTGAACATTTCTTCAAGTGTCTATTAGATTCTAGGAGAACTCAAATAATGTAATTCTTTAAAAAGAACTAAGTCAAAGCCTACCAAGTACCAGGAAATGGGTACTTGCAAGAGAGGAGGGTGGAGCCAAGGGGCAAGGAGTAGAACAAGGAAGAGGAGAAAAGGAGAGAATGGAGGCAAGAATTCATTGTGTATACCACAGAATTGAGAAAGGGAAGGGGTGGGTTTGCAGGTGGGGTGGGGTGAAGATATTGGAAGTGATAACCCAGATCAAGATGCATTTACATAACTTCTGTGTTATTTAAACGTGGGGAGACATAACCTGAAAATTAAGAAAAGTAAGGGAAGAGATAGGTTGGGACATGTGAGTGAAAATTTGAAAATCTGATCAAGATTCAGTGTATTCACAAACTGCTTTGGTGAATGGCAACTCCTTTGTAGAACTACTTAAAGATATTTTTAACAACCCCCCCTCCCCCACATAGTGGTACATAACAAAATATGTATAACTCACAATTAAAGTCACAGCCTAAGAAAGATGATCTCTTTAAAATAATTACTATTTGACTGTCACACAGGCACACAAACGCTGTATATGACTAAATTATCTAGCACAAAATCTATGCTTCCTTTGCTATTTTCTTATTTCAAGGTGAGTATCTACACAAAATTTTCTCCATTTTTTCCCTACTGTTTGAACAACCAGGAAGGTTATCAGCCAGTATTCTTGACATCATACAACACATCTGCCTGGAAGCAATGCAGAATCACTATTTACTGAAATGCCATGTCTGGCGATGACTCAGATAAGACAGTAACTGATTACAAGGAAAATTGCCATCTGCAAGATTATTTCTCTATAAACAAAGGCACAAAATGAAAGCAGAACAAATGATTGAAGGACAGAATAAGTCACAATAAAATACAGTGCTTAAATGTTTTCCAACTGAAGAATTATTTTATCACAGGAAAATTCACTTATATTCTATGTTTTCTATAACCTACATAAAAGTTAGACAATTTGGGATATAAGGAATGTAAAACAAGGTACTTTAGTTTCTAAATAGCCTTAACTTTTGCTTACATGTTGGATGGACTAAAAAAATTCATTTGCATTGCAGTCATTTAAAAAAATTTAACTGATATTTTCACAATACTTTACTTTGCATAGGTTTTAAAAAACATCACAGTTGGTTACTGTTGGGCAGTAATGTCTCCCCCACTCCCCTAGTTAACAGGTAAATGAACCATCAGGGGTCAGAGGCACTTGGTGACCTGCCAAGGTCTTTTAGATAGAAGACAGTCACATTGGGGCAGAACCCATCTCCAGGGTCTGATGAAGAGAGCTACGATCAGTGGAAGTTAAAGGTCAGAGTGTGAAGAAAAGAGCCAACAGCTCTGAAAGGAAATTTTGAAGGCAGGATTTGGTGCTGGTTCCACTCCAGAACTGCCCCCTCCCCCCATTCCTTTTTGCCACCCTACTCCTCACAGCTTAACTTTTCTTCCCTTTCTGAGGTGATGTCAAATACTTCTGCCCAGAGCAAGCCTCTATCTTTCCTTCTAGTCTTTTCAAATAAACATAGTTTCCTTAATATTTTTTCAAAAGTTTGTAAGAACAGAAATGAAGTAAAAAATTCCCTTTATATTATAAGTATGCAATTTTGTTTAAAATGTAGGTTTTATTTAAAGGATTAGGTAACTGACAAAGGCGACATATATATACTAATAAAATTCTGTTAGAATTTAAAAGACAAAAGTAAAATTCTCCAAGAGTTTAGATTAAGAGTTAGCCATTTCTATTAAAGGCCAGACAGTAAATATTTTAGGTTTTGCAGGCCATATGGTCTGTGTCACAACTTCACAACACGGTCATTGTAGCCAAAAGCAGCCACAGACAATATGTAAGCTAGTAAGTATGGCTATGATCCAATACAATCTTATTTATAAAAACAGGTGGTAGACTGTAGTTTACCAAACCCTGTTTTAGAGGAATATATACACTGCACTAGGGTTAAAAAACTGGATAATTTTTGAGCTGCATAAGGACATGAAAAACGGACAGTCATTGAATGACTATCATCTTAATCTCATTCTACTTGGTGCAGAAGGAAGGCAGGAGAGGAGAAATGGTGGCATAAAGAGTGAGCACTAGGAGCAAGGGAAAACAGAAAAGATTCCCAGGCATGGGAGTCAATCTGAATGTCTCTGTAGGTCACAAAGGGAAGGCTTGTCTGGAGGTCTCGGTGAGGGAATCCTTGGTTTATGCTCTATTGACTTTATTCCTTATCTCACTCCACTTCTCTGTCTGTGGATTGGTGAGTTCGGGAGTACTTAGGTGCATATGGTTCTGCCCCTTCTCTTTCTCTCAAGAATGGAAGGCCACACAGAACTTGTTACTCTAATCCTCTTCAGCAGCCTCCTATTTAGGGATTCCTGCTCCAGTCCTTCAGAGCTGAGAGAAACTCACTCTAATTCTGGGAGTCAGATTAAGAAATACATTTTTCTCCCAGATCTAAGTTACATTCTTCCATGAAAGCTTGTTTAGGCAATATTTGATCTCCATTAGTCCCCTTTTACTCTTTTAAATCGACCAGTTCTCATCTGAGAAGGGGGATGATATTAGTGAGTAGCATGCCCTTGGGCAGAGGAGCATCAGGAAAGGGTTCATGTGGATGAAGCTGGAGCCATGCTTGCATGCAAAATGTCATGATGGCTGTTTCTTCTTCTTTTGTCAATAGAGAGGATTTATCTAGAACTCCATATCTGAGAATTCAATCTACAAAACATTGCTTCCAAGGATTTCACATGGGAAAAAAATACTTCTATAGTCAAAAGTATGAGAAAAACCTGCAAAACATGAGTTCTTTCTGTTGATTTTAAATTCATTTTTGCATCTGAGAAATTCTACAGGAAGGAAATCTAAAAGTTTTTTCTACAATGTATTTGGCTCTCAAGTATTTGATTCACCTGGCACCTATTAAATATCTTTCAGCGTCTCATGAATACTCTATGGTAAGACCTAATTCAATATTTCTGAAGATTATAAA